ATATTCTGTGGGCAAGATAGTTACTGAGACTGAGGTGGTAACATTAATTATTCCTATTAAAAGAGTGATAACTATATTTCTTCTAGAAGTTGTGCTCACAGAGATAGATACCAACATGTGCCACCCCCAAAGCAGGGTTACTAAATGAGAACTGTTAAGATTTGTTTTTTCTTTCTATTTTTAAAGAAGAAATAGGCAATCAGATCTGATCTATAGTCTCCTAGATTCAAATCTACTAGAAATTCTTTGAGTTCGCTAGTAATAGGGAGTTGATTTCTCTATACCAAGTGTTCCCAACCTTGGCAACACAAAATAATCTGGGAAGCTTTTAATATATATTGGTTTCCTTGTTTCATTCAAGATCAAACAAACTGGAATCTTTTGGGTACAGAATCTGGACACGGAGGGGTTTTCTTTGTATTATTTATTATCTTACTTGTTTATAGCTTTACAGAATTAGAGTTGGCCTACTGCAAGCTGCACATATTTAAATCACGTGATGTGCTGTGTTTTGACAAAAGTTGTTGTTTGGTTGTTAAGTACCACCAATAGTGTTGCCTCACAGCCACCCTACGTACAACAGAATGAAACATTGTCCAATCCTGCACCATGGTCATAATCCCAGACTACATTTAAGCCCATTATTGCATCCACTGTGTCAGTCCAGCTCATTGAGGGTCTTCCTCTTTCTCGCTGATCCTCTACCAAACATGATGTCCTCCACTGGGGAATGGTCCCTCCTTATAACCTATTCAAAGAATGTGAGATGAAATCACTCCATCATTGCTTCTAAGGTACTTCTTCCAAGATATAATTGTTCTTTTGACAACCCACGGTATCTGCAATATTCTTTGTCAACACCGTAATTCAAAGGTTGTCATTCTTCTTTGGTCTTCCTTGTTCATTGACATAAGTAGACACTTGTGGAAACCTTCTCTACGATCAAGATAATAAATATTTCATCACTTTAAAGATTTCCTCACATACTCCTTGTGCTCCATTCCTACTCCATCCCTCCCCCCACCCAGGGAACCAAAGATCTGCATGCCATCATTATAAATAAAGTCATCTATTCCAGAATATTATATAGATGGAACCATACATATGTAAAGTATATAATCTTTTATGTCTAGCTGACTATCCAGTTTGATGATTTTGAGATTCATCTACATTGTTATGTGTGTTGACAATTTGTTTCTCTTTATTGCTGAGTAATACTATATTACATTTTGTCTATTCATTCACCTGTGGTGAATATTTGCATTGGTTCCAGTTTTTGCTTATTGCAATTGGTACTTTTTTGCACAATCATGTTTTATTGGACAAATGCTTTAAGCTCTTTGGGGTAATTTGTAAGGATGGAATAGCTGGTTTATATAGTAGGTATATATTTAACTTCATAAGAAACTACCAAAGTTTCAAAGGGGTTGTACTGTTTTACATTTTCACCAGAAGTGTTTGAGACTTTTGATTCCTAAATATCTTCACCAATACTTGACATGATTAGTCTTTTTTATTTTAGACACTCTGTTTGTTGCACTGTGGTGGTTTGTGTGTTGCTGTGATGCTGGAAGCTATGTTGTCAGTATGTTAAATACCAGCAGGGTCACCCATGGTGGACAGGTATCAGCAGAGCTTCCAGACTAAGACAGACTAGGAAGGAGAAGCAGACCCCTTCTGAATAGTTAGACATTGAAAATCTTACGAACTGCAGCAAAATAGTGTCTGATATAGTACCAAAAGATGAGCCTCTCAGCTTGTAAGATACTCAAAATATGACTGGGGAAAAGATATCTCCTCAAAGTAGAGTTGACCTTCATGACATGAATGGAGCAAAGCTTTTGGGACCTTTATTTGCTGATGGGGCAGAACTCAAAATGAAAAGAAATAGCTGCAAACATTCATTAATAATCTAAACATAGAATGTACAAAGTATGACTCTAGGAAAATTGGAAGTCTTCAAAACTAAAATGGAACACATAAAGATTGATATCCTAAGCATTAGTGAGCTGAAATGGATATATATTAACCATTTTGAATCTGACAATCATACGGTTTAATATGCCAGGAATGACTAATTGAAAAGGAATGACATTGTATTCATTGTCAAAAGAGTATTTTAAAATCTATCTTGAAGTACAATGCTGTCTATTATAGGATAATAGCCATCTGCCCTCAAAGAAGACCAGCTAATACCACTATTATTCAGATTTATGTACCAACCACTAAAGCCAATGATGATACTATTGAAGAGTTCTACCAAGTTCTTCAGTCTGAAATTTATCAAACATACAATCAAGATGCATTGATAATTACTGGCTATTGGAATGTGAAAACTGGAGACAAAGAGGAAAATGTGGCCTTGGTGATAGAAATGATGCTGGAGATAACATAGAATTTTGCAAGACTAATGACTTATTCACTGCAAATACTTTTTTTAAAATAACATAAATGATGACTATACACATGGTCCTCACCAGATGGAATACATGGGAATCAAACTGACTACATTTGTGGAAAGTGACAGTGGAGCAGCTCAATATCATCAACCAAAATCATACCAGGGTCAGACTATGGTCATCAGTTGATGACAGGGTCATTAATTACTCAATGCAAGTTCAGGTTGAAGACGAAGAAAATGAAAACAAGTCCACAAGAGCCAAAATATGACCTTGAGCATATTCCGTCTGAATTTAGAGACCATCACAAGAGCAGATTTGATACATTAGTCAAGAATGTATCAGAAAAGTTCTGGGATGACATCAAGAATACCATACATGAAGAAAGCAAAAGGTCATTAAAAAGACAGGAAAGAAAGAAAAGACAAAAATAGACATCAGACGCAGAATGTGCCTTCTGGTTGTTTAAATTATCATATATTCCTGAGTGTTTCTGTGTACTTCCCCCCAAAAAAACAAACAAACAAACAAACAAAACCCTGAGGGAATGGAAGCAAATGCTGTTGAATGATGAAGCACAGGGGTGATTGTAATCATTGCAATGAAATGATGGTATGAAAGCCCATGTTTTCCCATGTAAACTATCACTCAATTCACAATAAAAACAAGTTAAAAAAAAAGAGGGTATAGAGGTAAATCCTGTTACTCTATGGTGCATGGAGGGGATTGTAATCATTGCAATGAAACAAAATATGATTGGTTGAGTTCAAGGCTAGTGATCTGCCCTGTAAACTATTACTCAATTCACAATAAAAGCTTTTTTTTTTTTTTTTAAATAGATATCAAAGCCTAAATACCCATCAACAGAAGAATGGTTAAATAAACTTTGTTACATACCAACAAGGGAAAACTATGCAACTTGAAGAATAATGATGAATCTGAGAAACATCTCACAACCTAGATGAACCCAGAAGGCACTGTGTTGGTGATGGTGGTTATGTGCCATGGAGTTGGTTCCCACTCATAGTGACACTATATAGGGTTTCCGAGGCTGTAAATCTTTACAGGGGCAAAAAGACTTATCTTTCTGCCACAGAATGGCTGGTAGTTTCGATTTTTAAAATTATATTAAAATGCACTTGACAAGAATTGACAGTGTAAAGAGTCAGAATAACTTAAGTTCCAAACTGATTAAGCCACTAAGCTTCAGACCAGCACACATAGCCATCAGCCTACAGACATTTGCACTTGGATGTCCTTCAAGCATTTCATACACATCTAAAAATATCTCCTGTCTGCTCCCAATCTCTCCTCTTTCCTGGTGGTGTTAAGTGCTGTTGAGTCAGTTCCGACTGATAGTGAGCGACCTTGTATAGGGTTTCCAAGGCGCAATTGGTGGGTTTGAACTGCTGACCTTACAGCTAACAGTCCAGTGCTTAGCCTACAGTGCCACATCAGGACTCCCCTCTTTTGGTGACAGTGGTAGTTGTGTGCTGTCCGGTTGGTTCCAGCAACCCTGTATAGGGGTTTCCAAGGCTGTAAATCCTTATGGGAGCAGAAAGTCTCATTTGTCTCCCTCGATTCAAACTGCTGACTTTGTGATTAGCAGCCCAATGTGTAATCCACTAAACCACAGGGTTCCTTCCTTCCTTAGGTAGTGATGTCCATTTCAATATACGGCCTGGAGCAGAATCTTTGGAATCATCTTTTCCTTCATCTTCCACATCCTTTCAATTACCTAATTTTGCTAATAGTCCTTCAAATCCATCACCTCCTTTCTTTTTCTTCTGTCACTCAGTTCTGGCTCTCACCACCCAGGGAGTGTCTTAGTTTATTGCAGTTGTCTAACAGATCTTCCGGCCTCTGTTCTTGTCATTTCCATCCATCTGTCACCCTGTCAGCACCACAGAGAGCTTTCTAAAATATGTATCATATGCTACTACTGTACTTATTCATTTGTTCCCCACCAACGACAGGATGAAGCCTACAGTCACAAGTAGGTTCTCCTAATCTATTTGTGAATTGGTTTCTGCCCACTTCTCTCATCTCATCTTTCAGCACTCAAAACTTCAGCCAAATCCAAGTTTTGCATATCCTCCAGCGTCACCTTTGACTTTGACATTAATGGTTTACTCTTCCTGGAAACCTCCCCCTTTCCCTGCCCTTTGCCTAGCTAAAATTAACTCACCCTTCTAGAGGGTTCAGGCTGGACTTTTCCCTGGCACTCCATTTATACCTCCCTTCGACATTCCCAAAGCATCTTTTGCAAACAAACGCCACTATTCACCCTGAATTGTGTTTGCTTTTAAATCTGTGTCCTTCACTAAACTGTGAGTGGGGGTAGGGCAGAGACAGGATTTTATTTGGGTCTTGGTATTAAAAATTTATTCATCCAACAAATATTCAAATATGCCAAATATTGCCCTACTCCTAAGTGATATATTAATAGACAAAGCAGAGCTCCTTTGAGCATCTGGGTAGTTACTGGAAAACCGAACAGGTGCTCGGCGACTTCTGGGGCGGAGGAAGGGGTAGTTGGAAAAGTCCCTTGGCTTCCCTGGGCCCCGGCGAAAGTTCGAGTTAGGCAGCTGAAAGCGACACGCCCAGGCCCGCAAGCAGCGGCTCCAGGTTCCAAAAGGCGGAGAGCGCGCAGCTGCCAAGCAGGGACTCCCCGAGCACTGTCGGGGGTTTCCGCGTCTTCCGGGCAGGGCCGGAAGAGGAAGTCGGCGGTGCCTCGGTGGCCCCGGCAGAGCTAGCGGATCGCCCCATCCTACCCGGCCGCGGAGGCAGCTCAGCGGCGGACACGGAGCCCCTCCTTCACCCCCGCCCCCCCTGCACAACGCTGAGCCACGCCGGGCGCCCACTAGTCGGATGGGGTCGCAGCGGCGGCACTTGGCCGCCGTGGCCGCGCTGCTCTGGGGCTTCCTGCTATCACTGGTAAGGGGGGCCGGCGGGCGCTCGGGCCTCCCCGGGGCGGGGCCGGGTCTGAGGCTCCCCTCCCCTTCTCGCGCTGGGCTTCGGTAGATTCTCCGCTGCCTCCGCTCTGTCCTGTTACCTTTTCATTCCCCCCGCTGGTTCCCCCCCACCACTCCCCAGCCTGCCAACTCCACCTCCGTTCCCGTCCTCTGTATCCCGGGAAAGATATCTGCAGACCAGCTCCTGCTGCATTTAGTGCTTCTCTTACTGTTTTCACTGTTTGGGGCATTTTAAAAAATTGAGTTGAGTTCCGTTGTTCTTGCTGCTTCTTAACCTGTTGACCCTGGAAAAGAGAGCGCGAGAGAGTTAATTATACGTGGCCCCAGGGTTTTTATCAGTTCCTGGACTATGCTGTTCTGTTAATTGTGGCCATAGAAATTTCTTTCTGTAGTTCTATTTAGCCTTAGGACTTTTAAGGCATTTGATTCAACTCTGGGATTTTGGGTAATAGAGTAATATTAAATGCAGACACACACACCCTGAATGAAGTGTAATGCCTTTAGTGATGTTCAGTTTTCCTAGTTTAAATGGGAGCTGGTTATTTTTTCCCCTAAACACAGAAAAGTAATGGTACTAAAGAATTAAGCGTCAACAATGGAAGCTTCAGTGGGTGGTCAGGACACGAGGGTTCTGTGTTTTGGTTTTTATATTTAGTGACTTTCACTTTGGAAGTCTCAGAGTAAAAACCTTTACGAATGTTTATACAAAACTGGTATTTGTATCCTGGTGGTAATGTGTATTCCATTGGAATGTGAAACCTATCTGAAAGACATGATTTGCTTACTTTCTTTCCAATTTAAAGGTTTACCATTACTGAATACATTCACTTTGAAAATAACTTTTATTAAGAAACCATAATCTAGATCAAAAGGTGTAAATGCCTTGTGTGTATTAGTAATATAAATGATAGAATGCATCCAAAAATTACTGTGAAGTGGCAAAAAAAAAAAATACAGGATAAAGAGGATATCAAAGTAGCAGTTAGTCTTGAATCTGAGGTGATTTCAATCAGATAGTAATTACTTAAACATTCAAAAGGTAGTAGTTAATATAGTGTATAAATACATAAGTGTGCATGTCAATAGCATAAACTATAACCTAGATATAAAATTTGTTTGTTTTTGTACTCATTTTAATCTCTTAAGAATATATCTACCTATCACATCCCTATTTATACTTTCTCAATACAAATTTATATATTATTAATATAGTAAACGTACCATGGATTGCCAGAAGAATAAAGACATCTGGAATAAGTACAACCAGAATGTTACTTAAAAGCCAGGATGGCAAGACTTGGACTCTTAATACTTTGGACATATTATAAGGAGGGACCAGTCCCTGGAAAAGGACATCAGACTTGATAAAATGGAAGACCAGCAACAACAAAAAAAAGACGGCCCCTCAACGAAATGGATTGGCACAGTAGCAGCAGCAGTTTGCTCAAGCGTAACAAGGATTGTGAGGGTGTTGAGGACCTAACAACAACAAGAATGTATCAGTTCCTCATAAATTCACATGGAAATTCTTATTTAAAACTCTGAACCTTCTCCCCAGAACCTAGTCAGCATTTTGACAGCATTTCAAGGGCTTTATAAATCTAAAGGACATCTCTGCTCTAGTTGTAGTAACCAGCCTGTCTCTCCGACATTTGGATTCTCTTCTTTTTTATTACACCTAGGTATTTTGTTGTATTAATCCTGAGTTCTATACTATTCAGTCCTATAGCAGTATGTTGTTGGTATATGCTGTGAAATGGGTTCTGACTCATAGCGACCCTGTACAGGGTTTCCGAGGCTGTAACTCTTTACGGGAGCAGAAAACCTCATCTTTCTCCTGCTGAACAGCTGGTAGTTTCAAACTGCTGACAGTGAGATTAGCAGCCCAATTTGTAACTGTTACACTACCAAGCTCCTTAGGGCAGTATGGTGACTCTGTATTCCTTCCATCAACTTTTGATGCTCTCTGCAACATTGTTTATTTTATCTATTGTTGTTAAGTGCTGTTGAGTCAGTTCCTCCACATAGCAACACTGTATAGGGTTTTCAGGGAGTGATTGGTGGATTTGAACTACTGACCTGTGGTTAGCAGTCCAGTGATTCTCCTACAGCGCCACACCAGGACTCCATTTTGCCCATAGACTCCTTCAATATTGCAAGTGGAGGCTTCAATTTTTTCTTCAGTTCTTTCAGCTTGAGAAATACTGAACGTGTTCTTCCCTTTTGGTTTTCTAACTCCATGTCTTTGCACATTTTATTATTTCACCTCCTTGAGCTATCCTTTGGTCTTTTCCTTCTTTTTTGTCATCCTTGTTAAAGAGGCAAAGTTTGACCTTGGAAATTTCCTTAAAGATCATTGTCCTCCTCACATCAAAGCGACCTCATTGTGTATTTTGAACTCACGATACAGCATGTCTGGCTGTTCTAATGATTTCTAAACCTATTGGACATTTAGATCTAGCAATAAGGGGAGTACCTGGTGGTATTTACTCTGTCTTGGCCTTAGTGTAGTCCATTTCACACTTGCTCTTCTCCAGTAGATCTACCTTCACACCCTAACTATCCTCTGTATTTTACAGTGTTGTTTTGACCTGGTCACAGAGTTCTGTTTCACAGAGAATGAGTGAAGTTTTAGCTTGAATCCAATTCTGAAATTGCTTAATAGTTCTCTAAAGCATTGAGTGTGTTTTGGAGTTTGTTTCTATTTCTGCTTTTACAAAAAAAAAAAAGTCCTGGTAATTTTTTCTTTGCTTGAAAGGATTTGAGATTTTATATTGTCATCTTTTTTGTTCTCATTACAATGAAGTGATAATCAGGATCCCTAGCAGAAAATTCTTTTGCTGAAAATCTGCATTCTTGTAGCAACTCAAGAAACCTTTAATTCATTCTCTTCAGCCCACCTTTCTCAACCTTCTGGGGAAGCTAAGTGTATTGCTACCCGGACCGTCAGCGACATATGCTACCAATTTTGCCATTGCTGTTGTTGTTAGATGCTATCAAGTTGGTACCGACTCATAGCGACCCTATGCACAACAAAACAAAACACTGCCCGGTCCTGGGCCAACCTCACAATTGTTGCCATGCTTGAGCCCATTGATGCTGCCCCTTTGCCAATCCATCTCACTAGGGGTCTTCCTCTTTATCTCTCTTACCAAACATGATATCATTCTCCAGTGACTAGTCCCTCCTGAAAATATGTCCGAAGTATGAGATACGAAGTCTGGCCATCCTGGCCTCCAAGGAGCACTCTGGTTGCACGTCTTCCAACACAGATCTGTTGGTTCTTTTCGTCTGCTTTTGTCTTTGTGTGTAAGGTGTCTCTCTTGCAGGCAGCATATTGATGGATCTTGTTTTCTTATCCATTCTGTCACTCTCTGTCTCTTCACTGGTGCATTCAATCCATTGACATTCAATGTAATTATCACTAGGTATGAATTGATTGCTGTCATTATGTTACTTTTTTGGTGGTGCTGTTTGTTTTTTTTTCTGCATTCCTTCTTGTGTTGGGTTTGTGTTTTTTGTGCTGTTTTCTTGTCGGTTTCTTCTTAGTTTCCATGTTGCTTGTTCTGCTTGGGAATTCATTTTTATGATAGGTTGTGAAGTATTAGCTTTCTTTGGGGTTATCTTGTAGTCTACTAACTTTTCTCTGCATTTAAGATACTCCATTGTATCCGGTAATTTACTTGGCATCCTCACCACTTGGGTCTCTGTTGCTACATTTGTCTCTTCTTTGACATTGATATATTTTTGGTCTTCAGTTGATCTCCCAGCTCATTTGAGTTTGTTGTAGTCTTGTTCTGTTCTGGACTCTGCTATCTGTTGACTGAGTTCCAAGTGGTGTTGCCACACCTGTCAATCTCTGTTTGTTGTCTGTTCTTGTTGGTTTTCAGTCCACAGAACTCCCTTTAGGATGTTTTGAAGTGCTGGGTTGGTTTTGATAAAATCTCTAAAATTCTGTTTATCCTGGAATGCTTTGATCACACCATCATATTTGATTGATAGTTTTGCTGGATAGACAATTCTTGGTTGACAGTTTTTTGTTTTTTTTTCTTGCAGGGCTTTGTATATGTCTCCCCATTGCCTTCTTGACTACATGGTTTGTTCTGAATAGTCAGAGCTTAATCTAATTTGCTTGCCTTTATAAGTGATATTTCTCTTCTCCCTGGTTGCTTTTAGTATACTTTCCTTGCCTTTGATTTTGGAGAGCTTGATTATTATATGTCTTGGAGACTTTCTTTTGGGGTCTATACTTCCTGGGGTACATTCAGCTTCTTGAATGTTTATCTTCTCTTCTTTCAAGATGTTAGAGAAATTTTCTTCCAGAAGCTCTTCAACTATCTCCTCTGTGAAATTCTCTGACTCTTCTTTTTCCAGAATGCCAATAATTCTTACATTATTCTTCTTCATGTTATCTAGCATGAATCTTAGACTCTCTTCAGATTGCTTTATCCTTTTAGCTGCTTGCTCTTGGCAGTATTGAGAGATTTGTCTTCCAGCTCGCTAGTTCTGGCTCCATCTCTTCTAATCTGCTCCTTTCCCCTGTCAGCGTATTGTCCATTTATGATGTCTTATTATTGATCATCTGGACATCTTTTTGCAGGTTTTGAATTGTTTCCAATGCTGTATCAACCTTATTTGATTGCTCCTGTAGTACTTTCCTTACTTCTTCCTTGTTTTCCTCCATCCCTTTTCAGAGCGTTTGAATTTGTTTCCATATCATTCTTTTGAATTCCCTCTCAGGCATATCCAGAACCCGCTCTTTCTCCTCTATAAAGCCTTTGTCTGTTTCCAGCT